TTTATATGCCTTTACACATCTTTAGATGCCTTGCCTTGCCTTGTCTTGTTTTAAGATGCCTCTTCATGTTTATAGATGCCTTGCCTCAACTTGCCTTGCCTTTAGATATCTTTACGAGCTTTTAGATGCCTTGCCTTGCCTTGTCCTTAGATACCATTTCATGCCTTTAGGTGTTTTTCCTTGCCTTGCCTTGCCTTGCCTTGCCTTTAGATGCCTTGACATGCCTTTAGATGCCTTGCCTTGCCTTTAGATGCCTTTACATATTTTTAGATTCCTTGCCTTGCCTTGTCTTGCATTGCCTTTAGATACCTTTACATGCCTTTATATGCTGTGCCTTGCCTTCTCTTGACTTGCATTGCCTTTATATGCCCCTACATGCCTTTAGATGCCTTGCCTTGCCTAGCCTTTAAATTCCTTTACATGCCGTTATATGATTAGACTTGCCTTGTCTTCACTTGCCTTGCCTTTAGATGTCATTACATGCCTTAAGATGCCTTTCCTTTCCTTACTTTTAGATGCCTTTACATGCCTTTAGATGTCTTGCTTTACCTTGCATTGAGTTCCTGTTAGTTTCCTTTACATGCCTTTAGATGCCTTTCCTTGCCTTGCCTTTAGATGCCTTTACATGCCTTTAGATGCCTTGCCTTTCTTTGCCTAGCCTTGCCTTTCTTGCCTTGCCTTCAGAGGCCTTTACATGCCTTGAGATGCCTTGCCTTGCATTTCCTTGCCTTTAGATGCCTTTTTCCACTTTGCCTTCAGATGCCGTTACATGCCTTTGAATGCCTTGCCTTGTCTTGCTTTGACTTGCCCTGCCTTTAGATGCTTTTACATGCCTCTAGATGCCTTTAAATGTTTTTACATGCCGTGCCTTGCCTTGCCTTCACTTCAGATTCTTTTGCATGGCTTTAGATGCCTTGCCTTGTTTTGCCTTTCTTTGCTTTTAGATGCCTTTACATGCTGCTAGATGCCTTTCCTTGCCTTGCTGTGACTTGCCTTTATATGCCTTTAAGCTCCCTTAGATGCCTTGCCTTGCCTGTAGATGCTTTTACATGCATTTAGAGGCATTGCCTTGTCTTGCTCTGCCTTTCCTTTAGATGCTTTTACATGCCTTTAGATGCCTTGCCTGGCCTTCCCTTGCCTTGACTTGACTTGCCTTGACTTTACATGCCTTACATGCCTTTAGTTGCCTTGCCTTGCCTTTAGATGCCTTTACATGTCTTTAGATGTCTTGCTTTACCTAGCATTAAGTTCCCATTAAGTTTCTTTACATGCTTTTAGATGCCTTGCCTTGCTTGCCTTGCCTATAGATGCCTTAACATGCCTTTAGGTGGTTTGCCTTGCCTTGCCTTGCTTTTAGATGCCTTTACACGCCTTTAGATGCCTTGCCTTGTTTTGCCTTGCTTTGCTTTTAGATGCCTTTACATGCTGCTAGATGCCTTTCCTTGCCTTGCTGTGACTTGCCTTTAGATGGCTTTAAATTCCCTTAGATGCCTTGCCTTGCCCTTAGATGCCTTTACATGCCTTTAGAGGCATTACCTTGTCTTGTTCTGCCTTGTCTTTAGATGCCTTTACATGCCTTTAGATGCCTTGCCTGGCCTTGCCTTGACTTTAGATGCCTTACATTCCTTTAGATGCCTTGCCTTGCCTTTAGATGCCTTTACATGCCTTTAGATGCCTTGCCTTGCCTTGCCTTTAGAAGCTTTACATGCTTTCAGATGCCTTGCCTTGACTTGCTTTTCAATGCCTCTAGATGCCTTACATTGCCTTGCCTTTAGATTCCTTTTCATGCCTTTCAATGTTTTGCCTTGCCTTTTCTAGCCTTTAGATGCCTTTACACACCTATAGATGCCTTACCTTGCCTTCTTTTTAGATACCTTTACCTGCCTTTAGATGCCTTTTCATGCCTTTAGATAACTTGCTCTGCCTTTCCTTGCCTTTAGATGCCTTTACATGCCTTTCGATGCTCTGCCTTGCCTTCTCTAGCCTTTAGATGCCTTTACACACCTTTAGATGCCTTTCCTTTTTTTTCCTTGCCATTAGAAGCTTTACATGCCTTCAGATGCCTTGACTTGCTTTGTCTTGCCTTGCTTTTCGACGCCTCTAGATGCCTTACATCATCTAGACTTTGCATGCCTTTACATGCCTTTAGATGCCTTGCCTTGCCTTGCCTTGTTTTTAAATGCCTTTACATGCCTTTAGATGCCTTGCCTTGCCTAGTCTTTCCTTGCCTTGCCTTGATTTTAGATGCCTTTACATGCCTTCAGATGCCTTGCCTTGCCTTGCCTTTAGAGGCCTTTAGATGCCTCTTCTTGAATTGCCTTGCCTTGACTTTAGATGCCTTTACATGCCTTTAGATGCCAGGCGTTGCCTTGCCATTAGATGCCTTTAGATGCCTCTAGATGCCTTACCTTGTGTTGCCTTGCCTTTACTTTAGATGCCTAGTATTGCCTTTAGAGGCCTTTTCATGCCTTTAGACGCCTCTTCTTGAATTGCCTTGCCTTGACTTTAGATGCTTTTACATGCTTTTAGATGGCAAGTGTTGCCTTGCTTTTAGATGCCTTTACATGACTTTATAGGTCTTGCCTTGACTAGCCTTGCCTTGCCTTGCCATTCCTTTAGATGCATTTTCATGCCTCTCAATGCCTTACCTTGCCTTTCCTTGCCTTTACTGTAGATGCCTTTACATGCCTTTAGATGCCTTGCTTTGCTTTGCCTTGCCTTGCCTTGCTGTGCCTTGCCTTGCCTTGCCTTGACTTAGATGCCTTTACATGCCTACCCATGCCTTGCCTTGCCTTTTGATGCCTTTAAATGTCTTTAGATGTTTTGCCTTGCCTTGCCTTTTTTTTGCTTTGCCTTCAGATGCCTTTACATGCCTTCAGATGTCTTTCCTTGCCTTTCCTTGCCCTTAGATATCTTTACATGCCTTTAGATGCCTTGTCTTGCCTTGTTTTTAAATGCTTTACATGCCTTTATATATTTTGTCGTGCCTTGCCTTGCCTTTAGACGCCTTTACATGCCTTTAGATGCCTTGCCTTTTCTTGCTTTGACTTGCCCTGCCTCTAGATGCCTTAACATGACTTTAGATGCCTTGCCTTGTCTTTAGATGCCTTTATATGCCTTTGCATGCCTTTGGATGTGTTGCCTTGCCTTGCCTTGACTTCAGATCCTTTACATGCCTTGCCTTGCATTTAGATGTCTTTTCATGCCTTTAGATGCCTTGCCTTGTGTTGTTTTGACTTGTCCTGCCTTTACATACCTTTATGGGCCTTTAGATGTCGTGCCTTGCCTTGCCTTGCCCTTAAATGCCATTTCATGTTTTTAGGTGTTTTTCTTGCCTTGCCTTTCCTTGCCTTTCTATGTTAATTTTTGTAATTGTAGTAGAGAAAAGATTTCACCATGATGGCCAGGCTGGTCTGAAACTGCTGACCTCAAGTGGATCTACCTGTCTCTGCCTCCAGTTTAGGTTTTAATGAAAAGATATCGGTGAGGGTTCGTGGCTCACGCTTGTAATCCCAGCACTTTGGGAGGCCGAGGCAGGTGGATCACCTGAGGTTGAGAGTGCGACACCAGCCTGACCAAGATGGAGAAATCCCGTTACTATTAAATATACTAAATTAGCTGGGCATGGTGGCCCATGCCTGTAATCCCAGCCATTTTGGAGTCTGAGGCCGGATAATCACTTGAACCGGAGTAGCGAAGGTTGCAGTGAGCCAATATGGTGCCACTGAACTTTAAACTGGGCAACAAGAGTAAAACACTGTCTCAAAAAAAAAAAATCATGGGCATGGTGGCAGGCACACGTAGTCCCAGCTACTCAGAAGACTGAGGCAGCAGAATCGCTTGAACCTGGAAGGTGGAAGTTTCTTTGGGCTGCAATCACCCACTGCACTCCTGCCAGGTGACAGTGCAAGATTCTGTCAAAAACAAAACAAAATCAAACAAAACCAAACATTTATGGTCCCTTCTGATTGTCCTACCCCAGTCTGTGAAATTGCTGGGATTATAAGCACTTCCCACCATGGCCAGCATAGGACACGATCTTAATGGAAAGCGGTAAACAGTTTGAGTGGGAAGGTATTGGGTGTAAGCACTTTCCAGACAGAGGGCACAGCCCATTGCAAATGCCCTGGGGCAGGACTATGTCAGGGGTCTTGAAGGAACACCGAGGTGGTCCCTGTGGCTTGAGCAGAGTGAGGAGTGGGAGAGAAGGAGGAGGAAGGAGGATGGGTTGGGCAGGACCTGCTGGCCTGGGGAGGGGAGGGAAGTTAAGCAGTTTATCTTTTAATGTAAGCGTGATCAGAAATCAGGAAGCAGGGAAAAAAGTCCAATTTCAGTTCCTTGGATTTTTTTCCTCGTGACAGACTCTCACTCTGTCACCCAGATGGGAGTGCTGTGGCCTAATCTTGGCTGAATTCAACCTCTACCTCCCAGATTCAAGTGATTCTTGTGGCTCAGCCTTTGAGTAGCTGGTGTTAAAGGCACCAGCAACCATTCCTGGCTAATTTTTGTAATTGTGGTAGAGACAGGGTTTTACCATAATGACCAGGCTGGTCTGGACCTTCTGACCTTATGTGGATCAACCTGCCTCAGCCTCCAATTTATGTTTTAATACAAAGATATTGGTCTAGGTTGCTGGCTCATGCCTGTAATCCCAGCAATTTGGGAGGCCAAGGCAGTTGGATCACCTGAGGTTTGAAGTTTGAGACCAGCCTGCCCAAGATGGAGAGATCCCATTTCTACTAAATATACAAAATTAGCTGGGCATGGTGGTGCATGCCTGTAATCCCAGCCATTTGGGAGGCTGAGGCAGGAGAATCACTTGAACCTGGAAGGTGGAGGTTTCAGTGGGCTGAAATCACACACTGCACACCTGCCTGTGTGACAGAGCAAGATTCTGTCTCAAACAAAACAAAACACAACACGAAAGCAAACCCTTCTGGACACATGTGATCCTCCTACCTCAGCCTACAAAATTGCTGGGTATGTAAGCACATGCCACCATGCCCAACCTAAGCCAAAATCTTAATGGAAAAGGGAAACAATGTAAGAAGGAAAGTATTCGGGGGTAAGCAATTTTGAGGAACAGAATACAGCCCAAGCAAAGGCTCTGAGGAAGAAGTATGTCTGTCCTCTTGGAGGAACAGTGAGGAGTCCCAATGGCTATAGCAGAGTGAGGAGAGGAAGAGAGAAAAGAGAAAAAGAGGCCCGGTTGCGCAGGGCCTGAAGGCCTTGGGGAGGTGGGGAAAGTTATGCAGTTTATCTTTAAATGTAAGTGTCATAAGAAATCAGGAAGCAGGGAAGAACCAGCCCAATTTGAGTTTTGGGTTTTGTTATTTTCTTGATGGACTCTCACTCTGTCACCCAAGTGGGAGTGCAGTGGCATAATCTTGGCACACTGCAACCTCTGCCTCTAAGACTCAAGTGACTCTTGGGGCTCAGCCACATGAATAGCTGATATTAGAGTCACCAGCCACCATTCCTCGCTAATTTGTGTAATTGTAGTAGAGACAGGGTTTAACCATAATGGCCAAGCTGTTCTGAAACTCCAGACCTCTAGTGTCTCAACCTGCGTCAGCCAACAATTGATGTCCTAATAAAAAGATATTGGTCAGGGTTGGTGGCTCATGCCTGTAATCCCAGCATTTAGGAAGGCCGAGGCAAGTGGATCACCTGGGGTTGAAAGTTTGAGACCAGACTGACCAAGATAAAGAAACTCTATTTCTACTAAATATACAAAACTAGCTGAATATGGTGGTCCATGCCTGTAATCCCAGCCATTTGGGAGGCTGAGGAAGAAGAATAGCTTGAACGTGGAAGGCGGAGGTTGCAGTGAGCCAAGATCGTGCCACTGAACATCAACCTGCGCAACAAGAGTAAAACTCTCTGTGAAAACAAAAAATAAAAATAAAAAAAATCTGGGCATAATGGGGGGGCACCTGTAGTCCCAGCTACTCAGAAGACTGAGGCAGCAGAATCTCTCGAACCTGAAAGGAGAGGGTTTCAGTTAGCTGAAATGACCCACTTCACTCCTGCCTGGGTGACAGAAAGATTCTGTCTCAAGCAAAACAAAAGACGAAACAAAACCAAACACTTCTGAGCTCATGTGATCCTCCTACCTCAGCCTGCAAAATTGCTGGGGGTTATCAGCATGGACCCCCATGCCCAGCACAAGACAAGATCTTAACCAAAAGGGGTAACCAGTGTGAGAAAGAAGGTATTGGGGTGTAAGCACTTTCCAGACAGACGGCACAGCCCATGCAAAGTCCCTGGGGCAGGGCTGTTTCTGGCGGGTTGCAGAAACATTGAGGAGGTCCCTGTGGCTTGAGGAGAGTAAGGAGTGGCAGAGAGGGATAAGGTAAGGAGGATGGGTTGGGCAGGGCCTGCAGGCCTTTGGGAGGTGGGGGATGTTAAGCAGTTTCTCTTTTAACATAAGTGTTACTGGAAATCAGGAAGCAGGAAATAAACAGTCCAATTTGAGTTTTGGGTTTTTTTTTTTTTTTTATTTCTGAGATGGGGTCTCACTCTGCAATCCAGGTGGGAGTGCAGCGGCATAATGTCAGCTCCCTGCCACCTCTGCCTCCCAGACTCAAGTGACTCTTGTGGCTCAGCCTCCTGAGTAGCTACTATTACAAGCACCCGCCACCATGCCTGGCTAATTTTGTACTTGTAGTAGAGTCAGGATTCTACCATAATGGCCAGGCTGGTGTGGAACTACAGAACTCTGGCTCAAAGGATCAACCTTCCTCAGTCTCCAATTTACGTCTTAATAAAAAGATATTGGTTGGGATGGTTTCCTCACAGCTGTAATCCCAGGAATTTGGGAGGCCGAGACAAGTGGATCACCTGAAGTTGGGAGTTCGAGACCAGACTGACCAAGATGCAGAAATACAGTTTCTACTAAATATACAAAACTAGCTGGGCATGGTGGCCCACGCCTGTAATACCAGCAATTTGAAAGGCTGAGGCAGCTGGATGGCTTGAACCTGGGAGGCAGAGGTTGCAGTGAGCCAAGATCCTGCCACTGAACTCGAACCTGGGCAATGACAGTAAAATTCTATCTGAAAGGAAAAAAAAAAACCTGGGCATGGTGGCAGGCACCTGTATTCAAGCTATTCAGAAGGCTGAGGCAGCAGAATCGCTTGAACCTGGACGTTGGAGGTATTAGTTGGCTGAAATCACCCACTGCACTCCTACCTTGGTGACAGAGCAAGATTCTGTCTCAAACAAAACAAAAAGCAAAAGAAAAGCAAATACTTCTGGGCTCATGCGATCCTCCTACCTCAGCCTGTGAAATTGCTGGGAGTATAAGCAAGTGCCACCATGCCCAGCCTGGGCCAAAATGTTAATGGAAAGTGGTCACCAGTGTGAGAAGTAAGGTATTGGGGGGTAAGCAGTTTCCAGACAGAGGCCACAGCATATAAGAGTGAGAATCTGCATTTTTAACACCAGGAATTGTTTTTCTCTTCACAGGACAGGTTGACAAGTGGTCTTCGTGTACAGGCGGTCCAAGCAATTTGAGGGAAAAACTTTGTAGCAAGATGATGATGTTTTCCGTAAAAACAATAAAGTGACTAAATCTATTAGCATGTTGTGCTTGGCTTCCGTGGGGGTCCTCAGCGGCCTGCCTGGACCTTGGTCTAGGGATTGGGCTTCGCCCCAGAAATCTTCTGAGCCGCTCTCTCCAGCGGATCCGCCCCAGAAGAGGCTGGTTCCCTGTGTGGCCGCCTCTACCCCTGGCTGCGCTTGCTGCTTTGTCTTTCTTCACACCTTCTCCGGACAGCAGTGCAGAGAAGCAGGGGTCCCTGGGCTTGGAGACCGAGGCAGCGCCCCTTGGTGGGTGGCCCAGGTGGAAGCGGGGCAGGGAGCTCCTGGAGCCCGGCAACGTTCTCCTTTCACCCTCCCGGAGGGTCCCAGGCATCTTTCTGGGTTCCACCGACCCCGCCACCCTTCACCAGACTGAATCTCCAGCCCCGCGGGACCCGATCCCAGCCGACGCCGTCCGATCCGGAATCCAGTGGGCAGAGCAGACCCGGGTGCGCACCTCACGGTCTCAAGCGCCCTCCGCATCCAGCCGACCCGAACAGGAAAGTCGGCTCAGGGAGGTCGGGACGGCCTGGCTCTGCTCAGCTTGTGGCAGGCAGCCTCCTTCCCTGGGGCCGCCTCGGACGCCGCCGCCAGCATTTTCCGGTGCCCCTACGGCCCCCCTGCACGGAGCGCCCACGTTGCCGGGGCCAGCCGGGCACACCAATGCGCATGCGCAAGCGGCGCGTCAGACACGTGAGCTCCCACCCGGGGCTCGCGTCACAGTCACAGCCCCCGTGGCCTGCGGAACCGCCTTATCAGCGGCTGTGAAAACCACGGACCCTCCGTGGCAGTGCCTGGGCCTTGGGCAACAGCCTCCGTTTTCCCGAGATCCTCGCCAGGGTCCCGCGATTTCAGGAGTCGGCCAGGGCGGGACCAGGCTGAGAAAAGCCGCAGCGGAGTTCACGGATGTCCAGGCCGATCCCCAAGGATCCCCACGATGCTTCAGGCCTGCTCAGACGCTGTGGGGGGTGCGTGTCCTTGAAACCTGTCCCTGCAGGGATTTCCAGGTACCGCCAGGTCATTCGTAGCTTGATGGGGAGAGCATTGAATCTGCAAATTCCTTTGGGCTGTATGGCCATTCTCGTGATATTGATTCTTCCTAATCATGAGCAAGGAATGTTTCTCCATGTTTGTGTCCTCTCTTATTTTGTTGAGCAGTGGTTTGCAGTTCTCCTTGAAGAGGTCCTTTGTGTTCCTTGTTAGTTGTGTTCCTAGGTATTTTATTCTCTTTGTAGCAACTGTGAATGGCAGTTCGTTCTTGCTTTGGCTCTCTTTAAGTCGGCTGTTGGTAGATAGGAATGCTTGTGATTTTTGCACATTGATTTTGTATCTTGAGACTTTGCTGAAGTTCCTTATCAGTTTCAGGAGATTTTGGGCTGAGACAATGGTGTCTTATAAATATACAATTATGTTGTCTGCAAATAGAGACAATTTGACTTCCTTCTTTCCTAATTGAATACCCTTTATTTCTTTTTCTTGCCTGATTGCTCTGGCTAGAACTTCCAATACTATGTTGAATAGGAGTTGTGGGAGAGGGCATCCTTGTCTGGTGCCAGATTTCAAAGGCAATGCTTCCAGATTTTGCCCATTCAGTATGATATTGGCTGTGGGTTTGTTGTAAATAGCTTTTATTATTTTGAGATAGGTTCCACCAATACCTAGTTTATTGAGGGTTTTTAGCATAAAGCGCTGTTAAATTTTGTCAAAGGCCTTCTCTGCATCTATTGAGATAATCATGTGGTTTTTGTCTTTGGTTCTGTTTATGTGGTGAATTACGTATATAGACTTGCATATGTTGAACCAGCCTTGCATCCCTGGGGTGAAGCTTTTTGATCATAGTGGATAAGCTTTTTGATGTTCTGTTGCAATCAGTTTGCCAGTATTTTACTGAAGATTTTTACATCTATGCTCATCATGAATATTGGTGTGAAGTTTTCTTTTCTTGTTGAGTCTCTGCTGGGTTTTGGTATCAGGATGATGTTGGCCTCATAAAATGATTTGGGAAGGATTCCCTCTTTTTGGATTATTTGGAATAGTTTCAGAAGGAGTGGTACCAGCTCCTCTTTGTATATCTGATAGAGTTCAGCTGTGACTCCGAATTCTGGACCTGGGCTTCAATTGTATTTTTCGAGACAGAGTCTCACTTTGTCACTCAGGCTGGAGTGCAGTGGTTCAGTTTTGGCTCACTGCATCTTCCTCTTCACAGGGTCAAGGGATACTCATGCCTCAACCTCCTGAGGAGCTGGAACTACAGGCAAGTGCCACCATGCCTGGCTAATTTTTGTATTTTTATTCGAGATGGGGTTTTACCACATCAGCCAGGCTGATCTTGGACTCCTGGCCTCAAGTGAGCCTCCTGCCTTGGCCTCTCAAAGTGCTGGGATTAGAGGCATGAGCCATCATGCCTGGCCCAATCATATATTTATTTAGTACATACTGTGTGTCCAGCACTGTCCTAAGTGCTAAGAAGACAGAAGTGAACAGACATGTTCCCTGCTTTCACTAAAGTAGAAGAAACCAACATAAACAACAAAACACAATGAAGGTTATTTGAGATGGGGATAAGTGCTATGAAGGAAATTCAGCAGTAGAATGTGATAGAAGGACTGGGTGGGCCAGATTGGGAAGGAGAGTGGGTAACATCAGGTCATCACAGATCTCTGAGAGGTGATGACACTGATGCTGAGACCTAGTAATGAAAAGGAGAGAGTAAGGCGAAGTTAGGAGCAGAGTGTATAATGCAGAGTGAAGAGCACATGCAAAATCCAACAAGTGAAACAAGCTTGGCCTCTTTGAAGTTCAGGAAAAGGGTTGGAGTGGCTGAAGCTGGTAAGTTCATAAGGCAAGTGGGGCCTTGCAGACCATAGTTTTGGAGGTCAGATTTTATTTAAAGTGCGATAGGAAGCCAATGAAGGGTGGCAAAACTTTTAAACAGGTTTCCTAGCTGCCCTATGAAGAATAAACTTTAGGAGAGCAAGAGTAGAAGCAAGAGAACAGGTAAAATGTTACTGTGGTAGGCAAGACAGCAGATAATGAGACTTGCACTTTGATGGTAGTGGTACAGATGGAAAATTCAGTGTGTACAAATTAAGTTTAAAGATCTCTGGAGCTTGGCAGACAGACTTGGGAGATGATGACAAAGATTGGGAATCCTTTGACATTTATGTAAATGTGCATACATGGGTAGTGTTTAAAACATTTTTTTTAAGAGACAGAGTCTTGCTCTGTTGCCCAGGCTAGAATGCAGTGGTGTGATCATAGCTCACTGTAGCCTCAAACTCCTGGGCTCAAGCAATCCTCCTGCTTCAGCCTCCCAGGTAGCTGGGACTAGAGATGTACACATAGGTAGTTTTTGCTAAATTGTTAAAATAAAAATTCTTTTCTTACCTGTTCTAATTTAGACCGATTGCTTCTGAGGCCTGTTGCACAGCTATCATACTGGGATTTCTTTTCATCACACTCCTGGGTTAGTTCCTGGTATAAAAAGGGCAAATGATTCAATAAGTGAAAAACAAAGGCCCCAAATATGGCTCTGAAACAATGCATGCCCTTGTCAGTCTTGTAATTTAACTCTAAGCTTCTTGGCATCCTTAAGAGTTATTTATACAACAACCAGACATTTGAGAATTATGATAGAGGAAGGTGCTGATAAGAATAATAGCTACCATGTATTGAGCTGTGTGCCAGGTTCTTTGTTAGGAGCTGGGGAGACAACAGTGACTAAAACAGCCAAAAATTCTTCCTCTCAAGTAACGTTCAGACAGGTAAACAGGCTGCTGAGAGCTATGATAGGAAAACACAAGGTGTTACAGAAGGCACACAGGACTCCCAGGAACCTAATGCAGGCTTGGAGACCAGTGGGGACAATTTCCTAGAGAAATTGATATCTAAGCTAATCATAGAGGATTAGTAAGAACAGTTAGGTGGAAAATAAACAAGGGGAAGAGAGTATTTAAAAAAAACATTATATATAAAGGATTGGAAGCTACAGAGAATAAGAATAATTAAGAAACTTACAAGTAGTTTATTATGCTGGTTTATTTACATATTTATTTTGAGATGGATTCTCACTCTATTGCCCAGGCTAGAGTGCAATGACACAATCTTGGATCACTGCAACCTCTGCCTCCCATGTTCAAGTGATTTTCCTGCCTCAGACTCCCAAGTAGTGGGATTACAAGCATGTGTCATTCCCAGCTAATTTTTGTATTTTTAGTAGAGATGGGGTTTTACTATGATGGTCAGGCTAGTCTTGAACTCCTGACCTCAGGTGATATACCCGCCTTGGCCTCCCAAAGTGCTGGGATTACAAGCATGAGCCACCACGCCTGGCCTATGCTGGTTTATTTCTGGGAAATGGTGAGAGGAGGCTGAAGACCTAGGCAGGGGTTTAATTAGAAGAATTTCATAAAGTATTCTAGGGTGTTTAAAATGTACCACTGACACAACTAAATCTCATAATACCACCATATAATGCTTGGAGGAAGTTCAGGGAGGCCAAGTACCTTGCCAAAGATTATACTGCTAAAAAAAGTTGGTGTCAGAATTTGAGTTCAGATTGTTTAAGTAGTTTCTTTATCAGGAGTCGGTGGGGAGGAAATTTAAATTTTGTTTAGTTTAAGTGTTTCAAAGTTTCTTCTAATGTAATATTTTTAATGAGATAATTTGAAAACCTCCTGCTACAATCACCTAGAAATAATGAAAGTACAGTTATGCATGGCGTGATGGTTCAGTCAATAGTGGACCACATATATGATGGCAGTCTCATGTGATTATAATGGAGCTGAAACATTCCTATCACTTTAGTGATATCATAGGCATCATAAAGCCGTAGTGCAACTAATTACTCACGTGTTTGTGTTGATGCTGGTATAAACCAATCTGTCAATTGTATAAAGAATAGCAATACAATTACGTACTGTATATAATATTTGATGATGCTAATAAACCACTACCATTACTGGTTTATGTATTTACTATACTATGCATTTTATCATGATTTTAGAGTGTACTGCTTTTGCTTATAAAAAGTAAACTGCAAAACAGCCTCAAGCATGTCCTTCAGGAGGCACCCAGAAGAAGGTATTGTTATAGGAGATGACAGCTCCATGTATGTTATTGCTCTTGAAGACCTTTCAGTGGAACAAGATGTTTCAAGGTGGAAGACAGTGATATTGATTATCTTGACACTGTGTAGGCCTAAGTGTGTGTTTCTGTCTTAGCTTTTCTTAAAACAAGGTTAAAAAGTAAAAGACTTAGTGCAGTGGCTCACTCTTGTAATTCCAGCAATGTGGGAGGCCAAGTTGGGTGGATCACTTGAGCCTAAGGGTTTGAGACAAGCATAGGTGACATAGCAAGACCCCACTTCTACTAAATAAATAAATAAATAAATAAATATTAAAAAATTAGCCAGACTTGGTGGTATGTGCCTGTGATCCCAGCTACTCCTTAGGCAGAGGTGAGAGAGCTGCTTGAGACTGGGAGGGTGAGGCTGCAGTGAGCCATGATGGCACCACTGCACTCAGCCTGGGTAGCAAGAGTAAGACCCTGTCTTAAAAAAAATTCTTTTTTTAACTTTTTTTTTGGAGACAGGGTTTTGCTCTTGTCACCCAGGTTGAAGTGTAGTGATGGAATCTCAGCTCACTGCAACCTCTGGCTCCCAGGTTCAAGCAATTCTCCTGCCTCAGCCTCCTGAGTAGCTGGGACTACAGATGGGCACCACCACGCCCAGATATTTTGTATTTTTAGTAGAGACAAGGTTTCACCATGTTGGGTGGTCTCAAACTCCTGACTTCAGGTGATCCTCCCACCTTGGTCTCCCAAAGTGCTGGGATTACAGGCTTAAGTCATTGCACCTGGCAAAAAAATTTTTTAAATAGAAAAAACATACTACAAGGCTACAGTAATCAAAACAGCATGGTACTGGTACCAAAACAGAGACATAGACCAATGGAACAAAACAGAGGCACCGGAGGCAACACAACATATCTACAACTATACAATCTTT